AATCACTCAACATTATACAATTTTATAAAATTTATATTCAAGGTTTTCGATTATCTTCCCCTGGTAGAAACAAGGGGATTTATCTATCCCCTGACAAAGATTTTATTGTCCCATGCATTTGCTTTTTATTCTAGTTAGCCTTTTATTTATGTTTTTCTTAGGCCTTACTAATGCATGGCATAATTCTGAATAAGATTTTTATATAATTTTTTATTGCTTCAGGAGTTATACCATGAATTACATGCTCTGGATAGATTTCAGCAAGACTACCTCAGTAAGCGCCAAGAGGATGATAGTTCTGGTGCAGCTCATAAAGGTGATCGTATATCCTACTTGTGACACGATTTGCAACTCTTGTTTGTGATAAGCAATCTTTTATTGAAAATACAAAGCTTTCTAAAGAATATAAAGTCAAAAGAGAAGATTAATTGGGGCTTTTTGATAGAATGAACATTTGGAAGGTGGAGAATATGTCTTAAACTTGGACAAGACTGCCATAGTGTAATTGGTTAGGCAGATATTTGCTTTCGTTGTTTACTGTTTCACTGTACATCAGTAGTATCTGACCAATGTAGAATCACTGGTTATGCTATATCATGTCTCGTTTGTTTAATTATTTAGACTGCTAGTGAAAATGGTCTGCCATTTTAGTTTTGAACATCTACTAGAATGTTCCTTCTAATGGTATGCCACGCTGATTTATGGATTCCTTTGCACTCCTTTTGGAAATTATGACTGCTATGAAAAGTAAAGATGACATTTAAGTTAAAGAATTGATTCACCGAGGCTGTGAAATAAATGTAAACTTGCTGTTGTCTACTTTAGCCCTATTCTCATTATGCCAAGTCTTATAGCTTGTCATCCCTATGCAAGAATAATTGACAGTCAAAGAGATCACTGCTGCTACTTGCTAATGCATCTACTTTTGGTTCTGTACTAGAGTAGTAGAGTCATAGATTGTAATGTCTAGAATAGTATCGCATGCAATGGCCAGTATGCTGAGGAATTTGTTTGAATTTTTGAAATCAGAATTGCATAGGAGTATGATAAAGATATTCACTCTGATTGACATGTTTGACTTTACCATATATGAGCAATATTTTAGGAAAATCTTTTATATGTAACTTTTGACCTGAATGTCTCTCTACATATAGATGATAGCCTCCCAATCTTGAGGGCGGAACTTAAAACTCAAAAGAAGCAAGTTAAACAGTTGAAGAAAAAGTCACTCTGGTCCAGAAGTTTGGAGGAGGTAGCTTAGAGTTTAGATTGTTACTTTAGATGGATTTGTTTCTCTTGTCTCTTGATCAGTGTGATTCATATTCTTATGGATTACAGATTATGGAGATGCTTGTAGACGTCGTCCAATTTTTGCATTTGGAGATGGACAATATCTTTGGCAGTGAAGGTATAATATCCGTTACTTTCAGCATCTTGTTCTCGTTTTGATATATCCTTTTTAACCTAACTATAATCAACATCTGTTGTTATCATAACAATCCATGTATGATTCAGTTAATGTTACTTATTTATAGCTATTGTGCATGTCTCAATCATATTGAGCTAAACGTATTGTTCTCGGAACATTTATAAGTTGAAATGGGAGAAAATGAATGGGAGAAGGGGCGGAGATGTAAAGATACTGGAAGGGTAGCGGGGAGAGTTATCTGGTTTTAATTTTCTCTCTCGTCACTCACTCTCGAAAACAGCATGTATTGAAATCTGTATTTTGCTTCTTACTTGTAATGATTTTTATCCATGAACTACTGCAGATCGTCAGAAGCCTGTAATTGGATGCAGCAGCAGTCGTCAAAGATTGGGTCCTGCAGGCCTTGCTTTGCACTATGCAAATATAGTACTCCAAATCGATACTCTTGTAAGTTTATCTTCTATGATGCCTTTTTTCATTAGAAGTCTCTAATCTAAAATGTGCCTTTTCCAGGTGATAGTTTTATTTTATTAATCAAGTATCAAGAGAGTCTTATCTTATTATTGCCGTTTAAATATTGGATTTCTTCATCAGTTTCTCGTAATAAACACTTCCCCAGCATAACATGATAGCACAATTATCTTGATCCAAAATTATATGAACCTAAATTTCTATTTGCTACTTTTGTTGACGCATAAAATATGTGCATGTGAACAATTAACAACCTGATGCATTGATGCTTAAACTTGTTTCATTCACCTAGGAAGATGGTCCTATATTAAAAAAAATATTGAGTATTTGATAATGCTCAATTTGTATGCATTGCCCATATCGTCAAAGGATTGGACTGCACTTGGCAGCCCAAAATTCATTTGTAATGTCTTTAACTAACAATACAACTAAAACATTAGGGGGAAAGGCCACTATTTGCGTTAATTGTTAAGAGTCCTGACATTTGATAGTCGGGCTATGATTTGATCACAAGATAAATCCCAGGGAAGCTTTCTGATTTTAGTGTAGTGAGCCATGCTGCTTTAGTTTCTAAGAAAAATTTGTTTAGCTGCAATGAATAGACCTGTGCTGAGTTGGGTTGATGTTGGCAGGTTGCACGATCCAGTTCTATGCCTGCAAATACAAGGGATTCATTATATCAGAGCTTGCCTCCTAATGTAAAATTGGCTTTGCGTTCCAAATTACCGTCTGTTCACGTTGCAAACCAGGTTTGTTTATATGTTGCAACTTTCTTATGCCACCACAGCTTACATCCTTGTATTGTTAAAAACCAACGGGAAATACTCAACCCATTCTGAAATCAATTTCTTATGTTCTTTGTTGTTCACTTCTTCTTAAGTAAAGGCATCTCCTCAAACCTCAAGTCCTCAACTAATTATTTGTCCTTTGTTCTCTAAAGATGACCGTAACAGAGATCAAAGATGAGATGGAGAAGACATTGCACTGGCTGGTTCCAGTTGCCACCAACACAGCCAAGTATGGTGTTTTGTTTTTCTTCAAATAAATCATTTTATTTAATACATGTATAATCTGTTGTAACTTTTTGGCATTTCATTGCTGTAAAATTGACTCAGGGCACATCATGGTTTTGGTTGGGTTGGGGAGTGGGCGAACACTGGGTGAGTAACTAGTCAGTTCTTTTACAACATCTAAACTTGTTTGTTTGTTTACCCATTTTTAAAGTGCTCGTTTGGTTCTTGCAGCTCTGAGGTAAATAGGAAGAACACGCAGACTGACGTGATGCGAATTGAGACATTTCACCATGCAGACAAGGACAAAGTTGAAAGTTACATTCTTGAACTTCTTTTATGGCTTCATCGCCTGGCCATCAAAAGTAAGGCTAACAGTGATTTTGGTGAAGCAAAGTCTACGCTCAAGCCAGCTGCCGGCACTGCTTTGCAAAAGACAGATGAGCAACCTAAGAATGCTGAGCATCCGTTACTAACAATTGATGAACAAAACCTGCTACAAGATGTAATTAAGAAAACACGGATCCGAGGAATCAGCAAGAGCTTGGACTTCGACAGCATGAATACTACAAGGGAGAAGAGCAGCAGGCTGACAAGGAGTTGCAGCCATTCATCAACAACTAGAAGCAAGGAATCAACATTTAATAGGATTTCGTCTAAGCTTCCTCTGATTGATTTTGGCATTGACAAAGAGAGAGCATTGGATGTGATTGACAGAGTGGACATGGTCAGATAGTTTGTACATACAACGTATTCATGCTGCACTGCTGCAACCGTTGATTGCCAATTCATGGCTGCACTTGTGGTATCTTTGGCTTCATTAAATTGTTTTGGTGAAGTGCTATTGTACAAAACACTCATGGCACAAAGGTAGAATGAAGGGAAAACAGGCTTTTCTAGTCTCCAAAAAGATGATTGCATTGCCCGCTTGGGGCTGAGGCAGAGTGGATTGCGTTTTCATCGTGCATAGACAATAGGAGGACGGGTGCCTGCCTAGTTTTGGATTGCTGCACTGGTTACTTTTGGCTTTGGTGTATCCTTGAACGCTGCCAAAAGTGGAACCTATTTTTTTTTTTTAATGGAAATGTAGATCCACGCTTTTATAGATTGTACATCATCTGAATAAAAGTAGAATCATTGAATATGTATGTACAAGAGCTTGATGTTTTGAGAGTTTGTCTTTATTGTTTGGTACATGAGCGGAGCAGATTTAGAGTAGTTGATTCACCTTGAATTAGCGTATCCCACAGTTTCAATGACCATGTTATTTCACTCTAATATTGCTAGTTTCTTTCCTCGACCTGCCTAGCTCTTGGAGAGTTTGCTGTAACACTACTGAATGTAGCTTGTGGATTCTTCCAAGTCTGGGCAAAACGTGTAGCGAGATATTCTATTTGCTTTTGAGCAAGGGAAGGGGTTAAAAATAGAGTTTTTTTTTTTTTTTTGGGGGGGGGGGGGGCGGGGATGGGGCATGATTCATGTTTGTGTTTTATTCTCAGTTTGGGTTTTTTTTTTTTTAATCTTCTTTATCTTGACCCAGAAAAAAGGATAGAATCCTCCCCAAAAGCCCGAATTATATGACTTGGCATGTGAATAATTAAGTAATTTGAATTAATTGAAATTATATATAAATTGGATAGGAAAATTGTCAATTGATTCCGTAACTGCTTTATTGTATTGTAGTTTTTTTATATAGTAGTGTATCATGAATTATACGAATTCACATTTCTTGTCACAGTTATATTTTATTTTCCTTCTTAGTTATTACAATACATAAAGTATAATAAAGTTGGGGGCGGGGGGGGGGGGGAAGCCGGTCTTGGATTTTCAGCTTTCTACATGGATCTTTTCCCAAACTCATTTAGAAATTAGAAATATTTTCTAGACTTTCATTTGGTTTTAAAACACTTCTGATATAAATTGTATTTAAACATTGTTTTTTTTGGGGGGGGGATTTTATCCCTATTGTAACTATTTTAACAGGATTAAACATTGTTTTTTGGGGGGGGGATTTTATCCCTATTGTAACTATTTTAACAGGATTTTTCTTTATATTGTTCTTAAAAAATATTACTTCCTGAAATCAACTATTTTAACAGGATTTTTCTTTATTATTGTTCTTAAAAAAAAATTACTTCCTGAAATTCTCAAAATTGAACTGGCAACGTTCAACTCAGAAGTGATCCACATTCTAATCACCCAGCTTGAGCTTTTCAGCCGGGTAAACCCCTTCTGTTCTACTCCTCCTCTTTGCCTTCTGTGATGGATATTTCGTAGCTTTGTCTTTCACAGAATCACCAGATGATGTCTTAATTGATGCTGGATCTTTTTCTCTGCCGCTCCTCCTGCAATACAACATGTTCCGAAAGTATAGCTCAAATCAAAGGCGTTCAAGAATCAGAACATCCTTAACAACCACAATAAGCATTCGATACAAACCTGAAGTGCAAGAACATGACCAACATGCCAACCGCAGCAGTGCCACCCAGGACTGATTTTAACATTAGCATATTTTGAGGTTTCCCTCTTGGTCTTTCTACACTTGCCTCTTCTTTTTCAACCAATTTATCAGCTGATGGAAAAATCTTCTCATCTTCCGGTGTTATTTCTTCCTACGTCACAACAAAATCGACAGAAAGTTTCAATTTTGATATAACCTACTGGTTAACAGAAACATGCTTGAGATGGGATCAATTCTTACTGGAAGATGCGTCTCGCTAGTTATTCTGAATGGCTTGCAGGATCAATGTCGTATGTATGTGCTTGATCGCCATCTTTGCATTCAAGATTTGTTAAGCAGGATCGTGTCTGAGATACAGCCTCATCGGTTACCACATGCAGTACTCTTTCACCTTCGTAACCTTTGTCATGATCATTAGCATCTTCCTCGCTAGAGGGACAATTTTCATGGTAATCCATGCCTACAACATGGATATAAACAGCCTGAGAATCCTTGTTTGGCTGTTTGCCATCAATGTTAAATTTCATCGTGCCTCCTCTTCATTTGATTCAGAGGATATGACTTCAAAAGCTTCATGTTTTATACAAGGAGTATTTTCCTCATAGGATCCCACCTTTAAAAACGATGAGGGAAAACTTCTACGATCGTTAGGTGATATCAAAGCACATTTTCCTTTCTGATCCCATTTACAAAAATCAGACGATAAGTAGGACTGAAATGACAGCAAATCCTCAGACTCGTGAAAACTAGCATTAGAAGATAAAGATTCTTATTGTCCTCAAATTTCTCAACAGAGTGGCTAGAAGGGATCTCATATGCCCTTTTCCTATATTCCATACCGTCCTGAGATTTATACCCTTCGATTATTTGGTTCCACCAATCCATCTTTTCATTGTGAATTTCAAAAGACTCGAGGGTCTCAACATTGTCCTGCGCATCATATCTATTACTCAAGTTGACTGGTTCATTGGCCAATTTCTCAGAACTTCCATATTGTCACAGATCTCAAAATATCCCGTGTCATATTCAATACTCCCGGGAGTTGAGTTTGAACCATGAGAACTGGCACTGTGATGTAAATTTGATGTGCTATTTTCTTCAAGAGTTGGGGTTGCCACTTGCTCCAAAGCATCTCTTCTTATAAACACAGTTTTGCTCAGAATAATCAAAGCCCAAAATGCCATTTTCTTGAGTATGTTTGACTCTAGTATCTAAATGTGAACTGTCGCAGGAAGGAGATGATGACCAAGCGAAGGTACAATCATGTTCTATGTTCTCTGAGCAAGGATGCAACGATTTCTCTGAACTTAAAAATTCAAACTCAGCCTCAGAATTTTCAATTCTCTGTTGACTTTGAATATCCAGTTGATCTACATCTTTAGACATAAAAGGACTCTGGATCGATGGAGGAACTCGTGTATCTTCCACACTGGAGCTTATCTCCGATGTGCTATCATACAAGAAATCGGTATACAGTCCATCAGATTGAAGTTCAGCATGATTTATTTCGGTGGCGTCA